CAGAGGATCGTACTATCTAGGATGGAAATTCTGATGCTATTCTCTCTTGTCCTATCTTGACCACCACCAAAATTTCCCCCAAGTTCTCCTCTGGTTGAAGTCATTCATCCGTAATGACCCTCCGAACTAGCCACATTTAATGTGCGCATTCTGACGCGTACAGGAAAGCAGTTACGTTTAGCTCTCACGCTCGATTCTCTAGCCATTGATTGTATCCAAGTTGCTCGCATTCCAAACCACAGGTCCATTATCCATTTGACTTTCCATCAAACCAAACTACGATATTTCACCCACACCTTTATGGGGACCCTGAGGCTGCAGCTTCTGGTCTTTGAAGTGACTCGATGAAAGAGGTAGAGAACTACATTAGATCTCAGTAGGTTGTGCGCAGTGAGACTTGCAGGCTCGTGCGAAGTAAGTGGTTGTCACCTCGGCAGACGAAACTTACTTGTCGTATCGCCATGCTCTCCAACAAATTTCGGTCCAGATGCAGTTAAAGATGACTTTTACTAAAAAAACTGTACGGCCTTTTCATAATTCACCCGATTAGGGTGCAGTATTTCCATTTTGATTGAAAATGATAGATTATTTGTCTGTTAGTTTACCTTTTTATGGGGCACGGGATTTTAACAGGCAGATCACACAGTACTCACGCAACTGACGTCGTTTCTGAGACAGAACTATAGCCGGGCTGACATCGTAAGTTTAGAAAGGAGGTGTCCACGCTGGCTAGATTAGGTCGGTCGTCTTACAACGAGGAGTATATGATAGGACCTTTCGAATTATATTTCCGTCGCTCGGAAAACGGGAAACAGCTGTTGGCTCTGGGTTCCTAACACCGCTTATTCCTAGCCAGTACGAACGCCAGACCATCCAGCTGCCGGTGCGCCACTTGTCGTCCACTGTTCTCGGGGTTGCGACGAACGGAAATCGACCATATGGCTATAAGCCACAAATCGCGGGATTAAATACAAGACTGTCCATCGCACTAGAACACTCCGTTCAAATCTGATCACACATTAGTTGGTTCCAATCGGTCCACGTGCTTCATCGAGTGTTCCAAACACACGACACAACAGCTAGACTGTGACAAGTTGTCTTAATCACCCCGCCTAACTGTCTCTCAAAACGCGCTAGCTGAGAAGCTAGAAGCCACCCCACTCGATCACATTAATCAGTACCAGTCATTTGTCAAAAGTGCTCTGCATTCCACTAACCTAGTTGCGGTCTGACACGTTTTGTCCTGACACCCCAGTCTCTACATCTTCTTGAGGCGCGCTGGTCCAACTCAACCTGCAGCGAGAATAATGTAGTACGACTTGTAGCGAGACGTGAAATCAACGTAAGCCCACTCAGAGACCGCGAAATTTGATGGACGCAGTGTGCATAAGGGATAGAACATGCTGCCGCCCTGGGAAATCCTGCGAGATTTTTTATCTCATCCGACAAGAAAACTTCATAATCTGTAAAGCTAACTACTCACCCGTCCGTAATCAACAGCGACGTCCTGCACGGTGGACGGAGCACTCTCGGCAGTGTTTAGCTGACCATCAGCGTTAGGTTCTCACATAGCTTTACTGATACGGGTCTCATGGTATGTCTCATCAGGCCCACTCTCTGAGGCGTAAATCCGCAAGGGCGGTAACGCTCAAATCTCCTAGAGCTCTGTAATACCTTTGAGAGACCAGCGATCATCGTTTTATTGGGTAAGTTCACGTTATCGAACTGTTTGTAGAGAAATGAAGTACCTGGTAAGTATGTGTTGATCCTCAAAAGGTTGCATCGTCAAACCTCAGGTTGGCTAGGCCCATAGCTTTTGCCACCACTCGTCGTCCTACATCACCATTCCTCTTCAACTTTGCCATAAGAGATATCCTACAAAATACCCTGTCTAGCAAACGGTGGAGTTGAGCCCCTCCCAGGCAATAGAATTCGTGACTTGGAGTATACCGATGACATGTACTCTTTAAACCGTTTAGCGCTCTAATTATCCAGTCATGGAATGTGCTTCGATCTATCCTAATGCAAAGTGCTTATTTCAGACTATCAGGATCTTTTGTCTGCACTCACCCTGTGGCAGACAGCTCAAAGTAGTAGAGAGTTTTAAGTACCTCAGGAGCTTGATCGCATATGGAATTGGTGTTGGAGAGGTGATCACATCACATATAGCTTAATCTGGCACAATTGTGCTGTCGCGCTGACTTCCGATTGTCCCTCAAGGAAAGGGTGTACACCGCCATGGTTAGTAGTGTTCTGCTTTACGGTTTCAAGATCTGGTCCCTTCGCGTTTAGGATGGTAATTGGTTTTCTGTATTCGAACAAAGATGTATCCGAAGCATTACTTGTGTAATGCCTCCGGTGGTAACACCGGAGGAGCAAAGATGAAGTTCGTCATCGTGTTATGGGTGTAGATAGTTGTTCTCTGAAAGAGATAATTGTCCTACCTCACCTCAGATTACTTGTTCGCGTTTTGCATATGCCTGTCCATTGTCTACCTTTCCGAAGCTTCAGCTTCGGTTTCGGTTAGATCGCAGATCGCCTTACAGGTTGAGACCCAAAAGATGGTGGTGGTGGTGATGGTTGGTTGGTTAGTTCTGTCTCAGAATCGACGTCAATTGCGTGAATACTGTGTGATCTGCCTGTTAAAATCCCGTGCCCCATAAAAAGGTAAACTAACAGATAAATAATCTATCACTTTCAATCAAAATGAAAATACTGCACCTTAATTGGGTGAATTTTGAAACTCTTATGGAAAACATGATATTTGATCTGTCTTTAAGCGGCTCTATGACTCACTTAATAGCTCTTTCCTGTGTGTTGATTTGTTTCTGTACTAAACTCAACACCACCTTCATTTACATCTACTGGGGAGAACCATTCTGTCACTTCGATTGAAGTTTTAAAGTTGCTATAGCTCCTTGAATCAGACAAGGCACATAGCGCTGATTCATTATCCCCCTTCCTATTGTGAATGTATGTCAAACAACTTGTTTCACTTATTTCCGAGTTGTTCAGTTTATACTGGAGACCTGCCTGCATAACACCAATCCCGAGAAAGGAGTCTTCCAAGTAACGACTGATTGCTTACACACGAGCACTATTGAAAGTTATCGAAAGGGTGTATCTAGACCGGATAAACCTCTTNTGTAGCGCATTACCGAGTTCAACTTGCTTACAAATCTTCGCTTTCCACTCTTGATGCTGTCGCTCACGTCGTACACTCCGTTTCATCCTGGTTAGGTTATGTATTTGTCATCTTTGGTTTAATTTTTCTTGATTACTTTCTATAAAGTACCAGCAATACTTAAGCGTTGTTCAGTACAAAGTCACAGTCACCATCATGTGACTCCTGGTTTCGCTCGTGTGAGTGTGGCGAATTCATTTTGTATCCGTTCTGTTCTGGTGACCACTGTAGAAGGTGGGCACATTCTTTTTGTTTCGTAATAGCTCACCACCATGCTTCGCCAACCGTACGGTCGACTATAAATAGTTATTCACGAGACTTATGTATACTTTGTTCTTTCGTGCCCTCAATACGGCAACCAAAACCGGTTCAGAGATTTACATGAGTGGTGGTGTGGCTCAAGGGTTTAGTCGCTGTCACGTGCGTGCTTTGTATCCTATGGTCCGAGGTTCGAGCCCCGCCACCGCCACACAACTTTGGTGGTAGGCAATAATAAGTTATAAAAAACACTGAACCGAGCTGCTTCATTCTTGTGCAGCGGAATTATATCGACATTGCCAAGCGAATACCGCACCTGACGGTATACCGTGTGATCACAATGGTATTATTTGTAAGTAGCCATATAATACCAGCCAAAAATGGACATGAATTAGCTCATGTCTGTAGGTGAATTTAGAATAACTGAATGCCAGTTTGACTCGAACTGAATATGGATTCCCAAGAATGTCTGGAAGAATATGTTTACTTCATTTTTCAATCAATTGACTAGATCACCACCGACAACTGGGTTTTCTGATTCAATCATGGCCCGTAAATCAATCTTCCAGCACTTGGTTGTGTGGTAATTTACTTTGAACTGTGTATTCGTCGTAATTCTTTCCGTTTTATTTTATCACATGGAATTAGTTCTCAATTGCTTTTTATGAGGTCACTAAAGGGAAAACACACCTGAAGCGTTGCATAATTGACTAGCTGTAGGTCGTGCTATTGATTAGGCGATGGCATCTCCCGAAGCTAGGTTGATGTATACAAGGAAATGAAGTTTCTAGTAGTGCTATTGTATTTTTACCGGGCATTTGAACTTTCAGTATTTAATAATCATCATCAGTTGTGTGGGAATCATTAGCATCGGGGTTTCCGACTCCTTCCCTTTCACCCACATGCAAAGCACCTTTACTAAGTGCTGATCTCGCCGGTCGTTTATCTGGTTTCCGTTCACTTTTTCCCTCAAATCGTGAAACAGACAGTCTTTCGTTTTGTCTTTTCATGAGGAGGTTGCAAGAATTTTTCTCACGCGAACTGATAGTTCAAAGCAAGTGCTTCTATTTTTTTAATCATCTTTGATTTTTCGTTGCCCTTTGTCTCCCGTTGTCAGTATATGGATGCCACATGGCGTGCCCGACGCGCGGAAACTGTGTTCAAAGCGCTCAAAGGTGTCCTAATGGAACTGAGCACGTGGCGCGGTCCGACTGTACGTGCGATTCAGTTTCTCGCTCCACCGCAACTGTCCGACGCGGAGCTCGCTTCATTCAGTCGAATTATCACTGCCTCATTTCTTCAACCAGTACCAGTCATTGTACCGGCTTGAGGAAAACATCAGGGAAAAGGAAAGGTTACCTGAGCCTTTAATTGTTATCTGTTCGTGAAGAATTATGGTCCGGGTTGATCTTGTGAAATCGGAAAGAACTCTAAACGAATTTGTTTCCAAATCAGCGATTGTCTTTCACCCCCTCTCTTTTCGCTGCATTTTCTCACATGGCCAATTCAAATTCCTTTTGTACCACTAATTCGATTTCCTTCATTTACCAACTTGACTTTGTGCACGTAGTCTCTGTTGGTTTTCTGCAAAATGGAGGGCGGTTGGAATCGAACCGTCGTCTCTTCCTATCGCATCTTGCGGTTTCAGCATCTCTCCAGTTTGTATATTGTCTGCTAAAAGTGAATAAGGTTTCTCGCTTTACATGGAATTCTCTTTCTATTCACTATATGGAGTAAATTTTTTGAACCCTAATAAACCGTTCACGAGGTTCGTATATCGCATCGTGAATGAGATATCGCTTCGTAAATTCCTAGCCGCCGTAGAAAATTGTAGCACAGAAGCAGGTGTTTATTTACGCCGAACTTGGTTACCATACCGAGAGCGGTGGGAGGACTAGGTTAACTTTAGGAAACCTAATTACCAACAGAGTGGAGACGGAAAATAGGCACCTCAAGACAGGCTTGTCTCTTTGGTCTTTATTGGTGGATGTATTTAAGAAAGTGCTACAACGAGTAAGGTCACTGTAAGTGACGCATGGAATTCGCCTTGCTAAACATTCCATGAAGGTGTATCTGACACCCAGCGGCATCCAGCCGTTCAAACCGTTGCTCATACGAGTAACACCATTTGCGCGGAATATATTATTAAGTAACAGAAGGTCATGTAAGATTGAAAGAATTGTTCACGAGAGAAGGTTCTTTATTTTCGTGGATAGTAAGGGCAGTGGTTATAAAACAGCTGCTGCAGAAGAAACGAAGTGTGAATGCCGTTTCTATGCTCCGTGGTTTTTGCCCTGCTTGCATATAACCAGGGTATCCGATCTGAATAATTGGGATATTCAAAGTCTTATTCCAGATAGGTTGGTTAGAAACCGCAGCGAAGATGGTTAAGATCAGAACTCCACTGTGGTAGTAGCGGCCTCAAGCAACGTCATGAGTAAGACATCAAATTTAGCTCGAACAGAGGATGTCCTTCCAGAGCTGGGCGTCTCTTAGAATAGTTTAGGTACAGTGAATTACAATTTTCAATGCAATCAACTTCGATGAGTAGCAGCTATGATAGGGAAGTGCCCGGACATCCAGATATTATATATATATATATATATATATTTGATAGACAAGGCTTGGCAACACAGACTACGGAGATTAAGCATAACTGTCTGCCGTCTACGAGCGTCAAGGTAAGAACCAGTAATCCACCAGTAGCTTCAAAAAGTGGTTCGATGGAAAAGCGGAAATCAGTTATAGTGAGTAGACCAGTGGACGGTGAGGATGACGAAATAGTCCTACGTGACCCACTAGAACATGCTGTGTTCCGAAGACTGACAACAACGACGTCAGCGAAGTACAAACTGGACGCTAAACGCAGAAGGCAAACCAATCTGGCATCATCTGTTGCAATGTCTGCAAATCATCGTGGAATACGGTCGATTTGGACGATGAGCAACAATGGATCCACTGCCAGAAATGCGGGCGATGAACACACAGCAGTTGCCCTGCTTACAGTGTAGAGGAACCATACGTTTGTGTGCACTGCCTCAGTTGATGGGCTTGGACGTCAAAAGTCCAAAGTATCTGAAAACGGCCCTTTTAGGGCCACGCCAATTTGATTTATTTGTCTTTCGGTTATTAGTTCTGTTCAGGGACCAAAATATTGGTATAGATTCCATTTGTGATCGGACTTTGTCGGGGCATTACCAACTTCGTTGTCGAGCCTGTTCCAAGGTAGGATGACCCTGTGGGTGGAAGAGAACTGGCGAATTAGTCCACGCGCACGAGGTTTGACGAGTTTCATGCTATGCTCACCCATAGTAATGCCGACGAAATAATCACAGAACCCGTCGTGAAAATTAGTTTTATTTCGTATTCGTCAATGATCTTAGGCTGAAAGTTTCAGAATAGTATTTAGAATAGCTGTTGACAGTTATATGCAAGTTGAGGCTCTTATAGATTTGGTATTGGTACATTTCCCTCCCGAGAAGTCGTTCATTGATATTAACGAATAATAATTTAATTTTTTCAATTTAAATAAATTTCCTCATCAGTTTTTTTAATTGTTGGCTGCCGTATTGAAACCGGCGTTCTATTCAGGGTGTTTAATAAGGGAAATAACTTTTGTGCGACAGTGGTCTCCAGTTGGGATATTTTTCATGGCTGGGAGAATGGGGATCGATCAAATGACCTAGAATTTTTTGAATAAAGCCGCGGTTGGATGCTGTGCGTTTATCCGCCCAAGCCAACCGTAACAGAAAGGAGAAACCGAACAGTCTGGAATGATACCCAGCTGAAAAGGGGGAAGGGGGAGACATAGAAAGGCAAACGGAAAGTCTAATCAAGGTAAGTAATTCGGGTACGGCCACCTGAGAAGAGGTTCACCATCGTTTGTCGAATCAAATATGGAGATTTTTGAAAATGAAGACATTTATTACAGCGGTGAATGGATGGAGCAAAACACGACACTCTTAATACAGACAAATTAAAAATTCANCGAGTGAGAGGAGTCGGAGTTGAATAATTTAAACCTTTGTTACAAACATTCACGGAGATAGGGTCACTTCCACATCTCGAGCATTGAAACTGTCGAAGTGTACTGTATATTTGACGACATGCGATGGAATGTGAGCACAAACTGCCGCATCACTATGTGTCACAGATAGAGACAATGCTAGATAGATAAATTTTAATGACGATTAAGCGGAGTCGGAGTTCAATAGGTGACAAAGTACCGCGGTGATGTTGAGAATCTTCAAGTAGTGGCCTGCTTGGGAAAAGCGACCACGGCACTCTGCGTTTCACAGTGCCACTCGATGCTGCAAGGTCACCTGACAAGTGGCGGAGAAGCTTCAGGAGGTTAGACGTGCCTGCTCTTCACGAGCGAGCTAAGACTTTGAACTGGGAGGTTGCTGGACTCTCAGCGGAAGGTCTGTGGCACCAGATTAAAGCCAACTTGAAACAACCGACGAACGAATTCGCCCCACTGAGGAAGATGAGAAGGAGGGGACAGCCCCCATGGTGGAGGTAAGCCTTGGTTAGAGCCCAGGCCCGGAAACTTATGGCCTGGAAACTGTTTGATGCTACTCAGGGGCGCAGGCGGACGTGGCTTATAGGAAAGCCCGGGATGATGCTGCCAGGCTGCAAAACCTTCACCGAACTGGGTATGAAGTAGCGCTTGCAAGACGTACCAAAGCATATCCTTAAGCCTACTTAAACGACGTTCAGCCTAAGGGCAAGCTCAGAGAGTCAGTAGGTAGTATTGTACTCTCCCCGAGCACCCTGGCCATAACAGCTGATGAAAAGTTCGAGGGCTTACTAAGCTACTTTATATCCGTTTACTTAGGAGACGCCGGCCACCAACCGGCCACCCTGCCCCCCCCCCTCCCAAAGCCTTATACAGGAAATGCCTCAACCGTATATCACCAGTGTTGTGGTAGCACTCATAAACCTCAACAAACAGAAGGCGGCCGGTCCCGACGGGCTACACCCAGCAATCATCCAACCCCTGGTGGACATTCTGGCACCACCAGTAGCGGTACTCTTTAACCTCAGCCTAAATCAAGCTGTTAGTTCAAACGAATGGAAGACGGCCGGGGTTATACCAGTTTTTAAAGCCGGACGAGGGGAGATACCCGGAAATCACTGACCGGGCTGTCGCCTGTGCATCTTACTGAAGGTGGTGGAGAAGAGTATAAGAAATGCCATTGTTAGCTACCTAGCCCAGCATCGTCCAGTAGCACCGCAGCAGCACGGGTTCATCAAAGGCAAGTCTTGCCTGACGAATTTGCTGTCCTTCCTGGACAAGAGCACTGTCAGGCCAGACCGCGGTGACCCTGTTGAAGTCTGCTATCTGGATTTCCAGAAGGCCTTTGACTCGGTCAACCATCGGCTGCTTTAAATCAAGTTAAGGAACCTGAACGTCGCACCCAGGGTGATAGACTGGATAGGAGACTACCTAAGTAAGCGAAACTTCTGCTTGGAAGTAGAAGAGTCTAGATCCTTCTCTGTCTTAGAGATCGGTACTTGGGCCTTCGCTGTTCGTAATCTTTGTTGACGATCTAGCTCAAAGGCTACAGTTTCCGTGCTTTCTATTTGCTGACGATGCTAAAATTGTAGGTAGGCCAACCGGGGATGTCACACAGCAGGACTTAGACACCCTCTATTTCTGGTTCGTGATCTGGGGCCTACCAATAAACGCCGTCAAGTGCAGGTACTTAGTGTCTGACGGTTTCCCTGTCGTGCGCTACCTCAACCCTGATACCCCTTGGTAATTCAGCACACAAAGACAATGAAGGACCTAGGGGTACTTGTGCATCAGTGCTTTAAGCCGTCACCACAATGTACTGAGGCTGCTGGGAGGGCTCGAAGAGCACTGTTCCAGTTGCAACGCATTGTTGTATCCAGGGGCTCAGTAGTGCTGCTTCCACTGTACAAGACGTTCGTTCGTCCCCACTTAGAGTATAGAGTGCAGGCATGGGCACCAACTAAAGTTAGAGACATAAACACGCTCGAAAGGATACAAAGGAGATTCACAAAATTTCTCCCGGGTCTCCAAGGGTTGACGTACACACAGAGGCTGGAGAGGCTAGGACTTTTCTCCCTCAAAAGGATAAGGTTGAGGGGGATCTTATAGAGATCTTCAAGCTCCTGAAAGGAATCACCAGCACGGGAGCCCCCTACCCAGTATAGATAACAATCCTTCGCTCAGGAGCAACGGATTGAAATTGGGCGAACTCAGAGCTCTGGAGAGCATAAGAGAGAACTTCTTCTCCCATAAGGTAGTAAACGCGTGAAACAGACTGCCATTGGAGGTGGTCTCAGCCCAGACTGTAGTGC